AATCATCAATTATGTTATTTCCAGATGTCCAAGTGGTGAAAAGATTCTGTAATTGTAAACTAATACAACCTTCACAGAATCTATCAGAGTATTTTGTCAATTTGCACTTGTTGCATTCTTTTTGTTTTCCCCATTTATATGTTGCACTATTTAATTCAAAATTATGAATAAATCTTTCCTTACAATATTCTTTTTCATTTTCAGACAGCTCCTTGTTTTTTTTAACTAATGAAAAAAAATAATCTTTTCTACTTTCTCTTTCAGAATTGGCATTAGCATTATCATGCATCCCATTATAAATTTTATATACAAAATGCTTTCTTTCTTGTGATAACGATGATAATAGTTTTGCATATGACATTATACAAAAATATAATATATAAAATTCGACTTTTCCTTAACATACATACATAAAAGAAAGAAGGTTGCAGTGTTACGTACGGTTCATTTCTAAATGTCGTAATTTTTGTGTAGATTTTTATATTTGTGTAATATTTTCTTTTGTAACAATTTGAATGCACGGGAAACATTCTGTTATAAAGAAGATTCGTTAAAGACGTGAGACGGTAAATCCAGTACAGCTACGGCAATGAATCACGAATCTTATAAACATTTTGTTGCTCAACTTTACTAAACTGAATTATTGAGGGAGAATGAAATCAAAATCAAAGGGTGGGACTTTGTAAATGAGCCGTTATTTTCTTTTTTTTGCTACGCTGACTTTGAAACGATTTGCAAATTGATTTAATTTGAACACAAATATTTTCGTTTTCCAAAAATGATAAATGGTTATGGTTATTTTTACATCCCCATACTCATGCATATTCTCATTTCTATCTATTTGGCAACCGAAAAATTATCTATTTTTTTATTCAAAACGTCAGGGTTGAGCGAAGCAAATGCTTGACTGAAAGGAAATCGTGTTTCGCTTTAGATATTTTTTGTGTGGTGTCTACCGCTGTCTACCATTAGGTCTTCGTATTTCTCTGACGTTTCGGGCCGTTTGAAATGACCGAAAACTTATGGCTTTGCCTTGGAGCCTTTACCTGTGATTAAGACTTGTCACGCAACGTGTTAGTGTTAGTATATTTTCGGGCCACAAGACCAGAATTCAAAAACGGGTACGTATTACTTTACCGACATCATTTTACCGACAACACGTGGCGCGCCATTTTAGCATTTTATTTGTTGTTTGATTATGTGGAGGTTAAATGGCGCTACATGTATTGTCGGTAAAATGAACTGTCGGTAAAATGAATGCCTCCCATTCAAAATCGCATCTTTTCTTTTGCTAAAAATCAATTAATTAATTAATATTAGTAATAATTAATTTCCAATTTGATTAATAATAAAATTTTATCCTTTTCTCAGTAACTATAAGACAGTTGGAGAGTTTGAAGAAATAAATGCACAATATACTCTCTAGTTTGTATGTTTCATAAAGAATTGTATATTACCATGACAAGTACACATTTAATATAAATTCTGCACATCTTAGAGTTGACAGCTATCAAAATTCGTTTGCCAAAATAACAAAATCAAGGACATGCATTGCCACAATTATGTTGACTCCGTGATTAAACCGTTTTTTCCAAAAGGCAAAAATACAACCATGAACTGGTATGTACCAATCATGAAATTTGTATAATACTAATATAGATAAATATAACTTATTTGTTATTTTATCCCTATGTGGAATTAGGGCAAACAGGACATCTGGATCATCTGCTTGGATGAAAAAACAATTTGATCCCATCCTTTCTGGCCTCAGGGTTGGCAAATTAACTGGTCCATTGCCATTAATAAAACATTAAATATGGTTAAAGGGTTACATTAATGGGCCCAATGGACCACCAATGGACCGCACATTTGCCAACCCTGTCTGGCTTAAAATCTGATTTTACTATCAGGACCACCACCAATCCTAAAAAGTTTGTCGAATTGATGTTTGCCGAGATAAAGCCGCCCAATGCACGAGAAGATTTAGTGAAGATTTAGTAACTTTAGGAAAAACCATGCGAGCATCATTGGACAAGTCATTAGAAGATGGTGCTGATCTTGTTATCTGCGGATTACATGTCATTGGTAAGAGTATGGCAAATTTTTTATGTAGGAATATAATTTTTATGAATTTCACCTTTGAGATGATATCTCACATTTTGCATCTTACACATATGTATATAGACAAGATTGATTTGTGGAAATGATCGAATGATAAAGTAACTGGGCGGTGATGGTTACAGTGAGAGCTTTTGCTTGAGAGGGACACCCCAAAAAATTGAATTTATCGAATGATATTGGTTGGGGAATTTAGATTCCCAGAAGATCCAACAACCTGGGAAACACTCATGGTCTGTTTTCAAGTGATGGACACAATACAGGTAAGCAGACCTCAATTTCGAATAACAGTTAATTATATTTATTTTTATGGGCCACTAATCACAATACGTCTTTTAGGATCTAGTAAATAAAAGGGCCAAGATGTTATCCGAACGGGCACAAATCAAGCAATACGAAAACTGAAATTTAAAAAGATGATGTTTCATTGCCCAATAAAGTACCCTATGACAAAGTTTAATGTAATAGTGAATATCATTAGAATAAGGTTTTTTTCATCAAAATAAAATAAAATTTCACCCATCAATTTAAAAATGAAATATGTATTCCTTATAATCGCTTACAAAATATACAGAGATTTTACACAAAAATGAGGAAGCATAGCTTCGAATCTTCGATTCACCATGAAGAATAATATCATATAAAAATAATTAATGATCCTTGACTTATATTATTATTCACCGACCACAAGATATCCTTTGATTCTAGAGAATTGTCTCTATGACAAAATGCCAGATTTTTGATAAATAAAAATATAGCTATATATAAAAAATCATTTTCTATATAGTAATTAATAATTTTTAATTAACATATCCTTTTTAAGGTCTAATAAGTCTAATGCCACTTGGCTATGAGTGATTGTATAAAACTGTACGATTACACACAACCAATATAAGAATTATTTATAAAACTTGTTTAATTCGTGAAGAAAGTAATGGCAAAATTTTTTTTCTTAAATATATTTATTATTATTTATTATTATTATTTATTTATTGATTGATAGTCGTGTGACATGATATCGGTTTCTATGTTTAACTACACTCGGACTAAGTGATTGACCGACTTTATTTTTAAAATATTAAAAAACAGGAGTGAAATTTATCAAACTCCTATCTATATTCACTATGTAAAATAAAAGAGAAACATAACATGTAGTCAGTTCCCCGTTCTGCCAAGTCTTTCTGACAACAATCTAGTACCTATCTAATCTATTACTATGATGAATGGCAAAATAAAACAAACACAATATCAGGGAGGCAACCCGAATTGGAATTATGAACCCTGAAAATTATCAGTGTGACTTTATTAAAAAATAAAAAAAATACTAACTTACAATCTATTATTATTAAAGAAAAAAAAAATATTCTATATAAAATTCTATATTATATGTATATATATATATATATATAATATATATATATAATTATAAGCACAATACCTACAATACCATTATACCCACCATTTGAAAAAATGCATATGTTGACAATAAATAAATAAATATATGCTTGATTATATATACATATGTAAATGTGAAATTAAATGTACGCGTGTGTGTACCTTTTCTTATTGTTCAATTATTTTAATAAACAAATGATAAATTAATTGGAAAAAACTCAGTGTTTGGTTGATTATTATATTAATCTTCACATAACCAATGATGATTTAAAACATCGTCAATAGTTGGACGTCTATCAACATCACGTTCAAGTATTCTTTTGATAAGATCAATTGACCCTTCGGATAATATATATGGAATTCTTAAATCTCCAGCGATGATTTCATCAATGTTATAGAATGGGTTTTCCTTATAGATAAGTGTGTATAATAATATACCTAATGCCCATATATCTTGTGGCTTTCCATCATATTTTTTACCAATTAACACCTAATATTTAAAAGTATTTAAAAGTATTAAAAAATAATTAACAATACAATCAATTAATGATAATAATAAATAAACAATTGTCATTATTATTACTACAAACCTCAGGAGCAGCATAATCAACAGTTCCACAGAAAGTATCGTATTTTTTACCTTCCTTTATATAAGCACTGGATCCAAAATCTATCAATTGAACATTATTATTTTCATCAAGTATTACATTCTCATCTTTGATATCACGATGTACAATTTTATTATGATGCAGGTGTTGAATAGCCTTTGCAACTTGACGAAATATCGATTTTATTTCGGATTCAGGCATTTGAGTGTTCAATTCTATATAATCAAATAAATCCATTCCAGCACCATGTAATTCCATCTCGATATAATAGTGATCATCATCTTCAAAAAAGTCCACTATATTTATTTATTAATCATTTAATTTAAGTGAATTAATTATTAAATAAATGAAATGAATAAGCGAATAAAATGTTTGTGTAGTTGGTATATTTACCCATTTGTACAATATTAGGATGAGGGATGCGTCTTAATGTATGAAGTATATGAATTTCTAAAGGGATAGTACCCAACAGTTTATCACGCGTCCAACAATCAATAAGTATACGAGATTTAATAACATATTTAAGAACAACTCTTTTCTAATAATAATAATAAGGTAATAAAGTAATTGATTAGTCAAGTAATCAGTTTATAATTATTATTTATAATTATTTATGATATTATTGTACCTTTTCCGGATCGTTTTTATTATATGCTAATGTTGCTTCACCATAAGCACCTTTACCCAAAATATCAATTATGTGAAAATCCTTAATAGTTTTTGATTGGGTCAATACCGAATATTTTGCAGTTTCAAAAGAATTTGGAGTAGATAGTATCAAAGGTGAGTTGAGGATTTGAGGTTTTTCGATCGATGATAATGATGGTTTACCACCAGCTGCTATAAAATTAGATAAACCAAAAATTTCTTCTCCCAAAGTTTTAACGATTTTTTTATTATCATGATCTTCACCAATTGTTTCCATTCTTTCTATTTTTGATTTTCCGTCATCATGATCTTTGGAAAAGTTTATATTACGATCATAAGTTATCCATAATGCATGTAATGGTTCATCAGGAGATTCCAAGACACGCATTTGTATGTCAACATCAAACTCTGTGCCATCTTTATGTACAGCAATTATACCTGAAGGACCATGAGATGAGAATGGAACTGCAGCTGTTATTGATGATATTGTACTAGCAGATGATGATGAGCAATCTTTTGGATGAGCGGTATAAAGAAAAAGATTTGTAGCAGAGGTTGGAGTAGCAACAGATAATAAAGAAGCAGCTCTACGAAAAGTATTTTCAGATATCACAATTCCTTCCACGAGTGCACTCTCTGATTCCAAAATTTTTACAAGATGAGGAAATTGCGGCAACAAATTATCTATATTTTTTTTACCAATCAGTTCTTGTGCACCAACACCAAACAAGTATTTGACAAAATCAGAATTGCATGATTGGATGACGCCAGTAGCGTGTGCAGTTATAACACCGGCAATGGTAGGGATGGAAATGATTTTAAGTGCATATATTTTATCAATGCCACTGCCGCTGCCATTATTATTATCTTCTTTAACTGTTTGCAAAGTTATTTTTCCTATGATTGGAAAGTTGCCACCATTCTTTGATTTGCTGCCATAAAATTTTGTTTTATTTATTTTATCAATATCCAATTCTGTATGAAATGAACATAAACCTGCATTATCATTATGGTCATTATCGTCGTTAAATTTTTTGATAACATCTAATTTTGGAATTAGTGTAATAATGTTCATTCCTAATAGTTCTTCGGGTGAATAACCATACAAAGTTGTCACTTCACCAGAAGTTTCCAATATCATTCCCTATAAATATACATGTACATACATATATAAACTATTAAAAATACATGTATACACATATTATATGCAATTCATAATAATGATATAGACCTTTTCATCAATTACAGCAGTCATCATTGATTCAAGGATTTCTTCAAAAATCCAAATAAATATCGAGTTTCCACATTCATCTTTTTTCACCTTTAACCATAACGAAGCAGCAGAAGTCTCTTCATTTTTTCTTTGTATTGGTATCTGATAATTAATCGATCGGTCAATAAATTAATATAAACTTTGTTATCACGCGGTTATTATATAAAATAAATTTCGCGCACGCATACCACTTTACCACATGCCAACACGGCTTCAGAATTATCAATTTCGTTTTGAAGCCTGGAAGCAAGCGTTTGAGCCATTTTTTCACGAAATGGGCTACCTATCAACTTCAATACTTTAATGCTTAATACTTCGGCTCTAGAATAACCAAATACTAAACAAGTGATATCATTAGCATTTAGTATGTTAGTTTTATCATCGGTTGTGATTATAGCTTGATTCTGAGATGTGAATCTAGTTGTAGAATGTAAAGCCGATGAAGATATAGGAGTGTAGATTGAAGAAAGTCCAGTCAGAGTTCTTTTTGATTTTCCAGAAAAACTAAACGACTTTGAATCAATTGATTCAAAAGGAAGTATGATATCAGACGGAATGATAGAGGAGGAAGAAGGTTCGTCAAAAGAAAGTAGAGTTTGTTGTACTAGAGGAAATTTCCATCCTTTTATTTTATTTTTCATAAAGTCTATGGATCGACGAAGAATACTTTGTCTATTTTCTAATGATAAAGTGTTGTTTGTGACAAAACTATAACTGTGTAAAGACTCAGTTGAGAATCTTGAAAGATCTACACGATACGTTATTTTTGTCATGTTTAGAATTCCAGCATCATCACCACTACCACCACCATTATTATTATCAGCATTATTTGAAATTAATCTATCATCTCTAATTCTTTGCAAACTATTTGGTAATAAGTTATCATTATTTATTAATTCTTGGTCTAAATCTCTAGTAAATTAAAAAAGGAAATCTTATTGTTATAAAAATGTAAAAAATATCTACAAATAATGTACCACATTATATAATTATACTGTGTATAACCTAATAACAGGTTTTTCTACTTGATGTTTTTTTTGATAAAATAATAAAACTAGAAACTCACTTTAAAAATTCTTCTGAGTAAATATTATTGTTATCGTCATCATCGCCATTGTTTTTATTATCGTAATCTTGATAAAAACGTAAATATTTTTCTTTTTGATATGGTGATTCTATAATAATAGTAAATATGTAAATAAATTTTTATAAATTTTGCATATATATATATGTATATATGTATGTATGTATGTCTACCTGAAACTTGAGTCATTTTTTAGGGTTTTTTTTTGATTTCTTGTGACAATTATTTTATTGAATAAATGAATGAGTGAGATTTGTAGAAAAATTGAAAAAATGAAAAATTGATTATTTATACAAAAAAAAAAAAAATAGAAATCTAAAAAAACAATTTTTTTTTATATTATGTATTATATGGGACCACACATGCAGCAAACAAAACAGGGCCCCAAAAGACTAGTAGTAATAAAATAATTTGTGAAACCGAATATGATGATAATATTTTTTGAATAAAAAATGGTTACTACGTTTTGTAGCAGTATTAGTATTAGGTATAATGTTTGACAGAAAATTTATTAATTTTTTTTTTCTAAAATTATTCAGAATTTTAAATTTTCAAGTATGAAATTTGATGCCCTTCTAAAAGACAAAAGCACCTCCAACAAATTAATTAAAAAACAACGCGTTTTAAAATTATCTTGTGATGTAATGACTTTGTTGCAGCATGCATGGAATGGTTATAATTGGTCAATTTTATATTTATAAATTCTATTAGTTATATTTATTATTATAATGATTGGTGTATGAATGTTACATAAAAATCATTTGTTCACACAAAAAATAAATGATTAAAAATAAATTTTTCATTCATTCATTATTTTTTTTTTTTTAAAGTTAAAGTCTTATGAAGTACTGATCACAAGTACCGGGAGTGATTGTACAAAACATGATAACAACTGATTGAATCGATCACTTTATTATGGTTAGAAAGTTATAGTTATCATATATATCAGATCTAGGGAAATAGTTAATGTTGATTTATGCCAAAACTTTTTTATCTGAAAAATCGCTATTTTGAATTTCAGAGTTCTTTTATACATATTGGCTTTAATCAACAAATCGAATACTAATACTGGAAGCCGATTGAGATTTTCACAGACAAAATTGAGAACAATGAGCCAATTATGTGATAAGACACATGGCAAGTAAATCACTAGACTAAAAATAAAATCAATTGATTCTGGTAGCAAGCAATAGTAAAATAATAGCTTTATATATAACAATACTTGTTTTTTTATCAGACTTCGTATATATATAAAATATCCGGCTGTAACAGAGGCGGGAAATGGCATTTCAAAAAATTGCTATACTAATACTAATACTAATACCACCACGTCATATAATAATAATAATAGATAATAATAATAAAAATCCGGAATTTCTTGAAAACGTAATAGTAAGAGACACGTGGTGATAACAACAATAATAATAAGGGATTCGGATCCCCTTATAAAAAAATGTAATATATAGTAATAGTAAGAAAAATGGAAACAAGAAATTCTGTATTTTTCTTTTTAGTATATAATAAGGACGTGTTTCATATGACATCAAAAAAAAGCAAAGTTTGATTCTAACCTTTTTTTGATGACGTGCTGAAATGTGAATGAATATATACCTCCAATTCCATGACTTGAATAGTATTTTATTTTTGGGAATGATCTTCCCATCTCAATCAGGAAAAATCCCAAAGCAAAGGCGTACAGGATTCTGCAATGCAAAATGACACATTTGCTGTGGATGGGACTTTTCCAAATTTTGCAAATTTTGCATTAGCCAATAAAGGCAATTAAATTCCCCTTATTAATAAAGATTCTCATGATTTTCCGATCCTTTTTTTAGTCCACATGTTAAGTCATCAAACATTGTTGATCAGTATCAACCAATAAAATTGCAAGAAATTTTGCGCTAACCATTGAATTTTGCACAAAATTTTTGCACTACCACTCTAAGCATACAGTAAGTAAGTGTGACCCTTTAATGAATATTAGGGCTTTTTTAGTGAAAATACTCTTAACACTCTAAGGAAAACAAAGTCAATGGCTTGCGCTACTTCAGACAAGCTTCTACAACTGTTATAGTAAGTTTGCTCTGATTTTTTCTGGCGTACATCTACTTGAAAACAACGATTAATGCCTGGCTAACAACATTTCTTTTGTTCGCCACAATTCAAAAAACTGCGCTGCCCACTGCATTTGGAAATTTCGTTGGTAGAAACAATGATGGATGACATTCTGGAAGACTTTGGAGGAAGAAAACATTTGGATTAATATGCATTTTGGGGAAAGGAAAGATAATCTAAGACATATTGAACTCGCGATACTTGGTATGTATCCTAATTTTGTCTACACTAAAAATATATATTAATTATTTGTTTTATTGCATGCATTTTTTGTTTAAAAGTGCCCGACTTTTGTACATAATTGTATACCAGATCTGATCCGATTGCAATTTACACATAATAGGATCTAACCTGATCTGATCTAGTTCAAAACAGATTACAATTTAATAGGATCTGGAGCTTTTAAATTTTTGATGTGCAGCCACTAGATTAGATACCAAGACTTCAGGCATCTAGGAAATTATTATCACACATTTAAACGCATAAAGGCCATCTATGCATTTTGGTAGTTTTAAGTTGGAATTTTTCATACGCAACCATAGTTTGGACGTGCATTGTACATTGGAGCTGTTTCGCGTGGTGTTTTAAAATAATTCACAGTTCTCACAATTCTATATTTTTGACCCTGAGAAGGAAGGCAAAAATTGATAAATCTATTCAAGACAAAATAAAAGACGATTCTCAAAAAGGGGACAATAGTATTGAGATGCTTATCAAACAAAAAAAAACCAGAAAATTTTGATATATATACTAATACTAATACTAATACCGTAAAAAAAAAAAAGATCCGTGTTTTAAAACTCTGTATTTTTCCAGGAATGTATCATATTTGTGGAGAAATTTGCAAAGGAAACATGTAATTTATTGCCGTTACGAATTTTCCGGAGTGTTTCCGGAATCGGAATTAAAATAACGAAGTATTTCCTTTTACATGGATAACTATTGGATTCTTCTGCCTTGTTCATTTATACCAAGATGCGTATGATCTAATATCAACAATTTTAAAATGATATAATATATATAGTATTTGAATTATTACTGCATTATAATTAATATTTTATTAATAAAATGCAAAAAACCAAAACATATTAATATATTAATATCAGTTGTACATATAATGCGGGCATTTATTAATAATTAGTCAATCATATTAATATATAGTAATAAAAACTATACTTTTTTTTTTGTGCACCACAAATTTCATAATATACTTTGAAACTAATAAGATCAATGATCTCCACCAATATGAAAGCTTAAATCTTCCCAAGGCATTTTCCAGCAAAATTGAAAAGAAAATTTTGGTTTAAAGTAAAAATGTAATAACATTTTTGAATAGACATGACTTTACATAGAGAGCTCCTTTTAATATAATTAGAAAGCCTTATTATTTATCTTTATTTATGAGATATTTTAAAAAACGAGTTGTTACACGATACACTTGATCTGCAATGTCCAGTAATTAATATTAATTAATATGCATTGAATTTTTCAGAAATATCAGACACCGTTGAACTCTAATTTGTTACTAATTATCTTTAAATTTCATCTTTTTTGATTAGATAATTGCATTTAATTAATGCATTGGATTTATTTGATTTATTTATGAAGTGCCTTTTGTCTTATTCACGTAACATTTTACGTTTCAATATATTTCTATGCTATTCCTATTCCTTACTATCACTATTCCTACTGTTCCTTATATTCCTATCGCTATCAATATTTTTAATACCAAGATTAAGATACTCGTCCAAAAAAATTTCACTTTGAAAAAAGGTTGAATTTATATTTCATTTTTTTATTATTAATGATGATTCATCATCGTTTATCATAGGCGTCCTCCGCGCCACTTTGATAAATCTTTGTAGTGATGCCACTTTTTATTTAATTTATATAGAAAAAAATTATTATATGAATTCGCGATGATGATGCTTTGCAAGAAGAGGTATTTTAATGAATCAATAATACACATGAATATGAATGAATATAATTCAAAAATATTATTATCAAAAAGCGTTGACGGATCATGGCTTTTGAACAACATTGATTGCTAAATATTAACTGTATATTATTTTTGAATATGACAACAAATACTCGATAACATTATGAATATTATGAATATTTAAAAGTACTATTGGTGCTAATTATACTTGCAGTCGAAATTGTTGGACAGAAATAATACTTATCGTGTTACCATCTGTAAATATGTTGTAAACTACAATCGTAATTATTTACAACTTATAAATGCATAGCCGCAAAGGCCATAACAGGTTTTACCGTAAATTTTTTTCTTGTTTTCTTTTCTTCCCAAACATTAAATAATAATAAAACAATGAACAATGAAATAATAAAATTAAACAAAACTTACAAAGGCATCTTGTAAAATTAATGGCAATTGCAAGTTCTACCAGGTTTACAATAATAATAATAATAATGTTAGTCAAAAGATTCTTTTTTTGGTAAACAAAAAAAAACTACTATTTATATTGTTAATTGTTTATATATAATATAAACATGAAAAAAAATCAAAATTGCTTTAAATAACTGGTAATAATCATGATTAAGTTATATTACTATTTATAGATGGGTGTCTAAATTGTTTTGGGGTCGTTCTAAAGTCAAAATAGTATTTAGACAAAAATGTCTAAATTAATATAAATAGTAATGATTTGCTTTAAATACAACTAAAAGTCACGTGTATATACACAAAATCCACAAAGTTCAAGTAAATTATCTAATAAAAAATTCAATTTCTGCATTTTAGACAAATTGAGACCATGATTGTCTAAATGTCTAAAATAATTTAGACACCCATCTATATTACTATTACAACAAAATAAAATATTTTTATTTTACAAAAAAAAATAATTCTATAAATAAATAATAGCAATCAAAGAAACAAAATCTTGAGACCATTTCAAGAGTCAAATATTAATATGAAGTGAACATTGTCCAAGTTGATATTTTGAAACGATTTTTTTAAACAAAGAATTATCAAATAGTTTTTAGTTATTATAAAAATAAATATTATTATTATGGTAAACAGTATGGTCGTACCTGTCCTATCGGACCAATTAACCTCTACATTAAAATCAATTTTGTCATCCAAAATTGTAACTACCCGAAGGGAAAAAATACAATCCTAAATTTTACCGAAACCTAAATTCATACCTAAAATCTAAACACGTGCTAAAAATATTATTCTCACCAAAACTATAACTCTTGTCGTCAATATAATTAATTACTTGCAAATTGTAATGATTTATTGCTAGAATCGAATAAGGTTTAGACCAATTTTGCAGTTCATCTAATTTCAACAAAAGTTTAGAAGTTTAGCATTAGGTTTGGTTTCGAGGTTTCTATATTGTATTAGTATGTTCTTCTCTCGAGAATTCAAAAAAGCTTCGTGTCACAGCAATTGGTGTGTGTATTAGTATGCATATTCGCGCTATTACGTGGCTCAATGTACAACATGCGACATGCATCATATAGTTCATGCTATTATTTTTCATGCTTGTAAGAAACCCATTGAATAATTGTCATTGCTAATATTTCACCATAACAATAATAAACTTTAATCTACTATATTAATTTGTCATGCTTGTAATTTATAACAATGAAGAAAGTCACTTTAAACAATAAACAAAAAAAAAACAAAAAATCCAAGTATGACCCCAAAAAGAATTGATTAATTGGCGCGAGCAAGAATTTAGTGTAAAATTTAATCAAACAACTATTTGCATAACATTGAAATGTTCATCTGAGTATCTAGGTAATAATAAAGTAAATGCACTACAAAAAAATTTACGTGATATGAAAACATCCTCATGCACTCCAAAATGACGTTTGTATTCACAATGTCGTACTGAAAAGCCAAGAAATTGTAAATAATGAAACAAAGCACCATTTATATTTAATTTTTTTAATAACTTTCCTCAAGTAATAATTTATATAACATGAGTATGCGTATATACGTTAGTGGGACTTAGCAGAACCAGTATAGTTTTTGAAGCATGTACATGTTTACGTTATGCAAACACCTTTCAAGTCTCGCCCAAAGTACCTTTATAGATTATGCAATATACATGGATTGTGCGAAACATGTGCTCTGATTTTTGCTGGAATTGAATCACATGCTGATCTCCTCCTTCCCCCTGTCCTGATGAAATCAACCTTCGCATTCTTTTAAACTTATATCAACGAGATTTCACATACCCTAAAACTGATTAATTATCGGAAAATAAGAAGGAATTGGAGGCTATATATGTTCTTTGGACGAAAGTAGCATACATTTAAAACAGTTAGGCGATGTCAGAAATTGATGCAGCTAATAAAACCCGAAAAAAAGATCATGGGCAAAATTCGTGCACCAGGAAAGAATTATGTCAGGAAAGAGGCTCAAAATAAATAATCCTCATCAACATCACATCATTATCGCAATCACCATCATAAACTCAATCATCATCAATTGTCTCACAATTTGATGGATCATGCACCAAATGTAATAACCATCATATCTCTTGTCTTCTTCATATTCTCGTCCTTTTGAATGTCCAAAATCACAATCATTTATCCTGTCAGTTATTACAATTTGTACATCTGGTGCAGGAGTTAATGCTCATATAAAATAACATGCTCGTAGAGGTAGTTGAATGGTGAGGAAACATCATAAAAGATATCACACTGTTAGAATATCGATCCTCACAAGCTTGTGTGTGATGTTTCGAACATACTAGGCTTGCAAGATACTGTAGAATTATCTCATTAGTGTCACATTACATGGTGCTGTTGAGTGTATCAACCAATTATATATATTGCATTCAAGTGTGGCTACACTGAGATTCTCATTTAGCAACTGCAATTGCTCTTCCATTTTACCACCTTTTCAAGAACCAATATACCATTAACACCAGACTTCAACACATTTCCAATATCGGAAGAGATTCGATAGGAGACTCTCCTGGGCAGCGAGATTTGACGAAATAATGGGTCATTCATTATATAAATTTCCACATACAACAAATTAACACATTAGCTTAAAATTAATTTATATAAGGAGAGGAGAAATAATATTTAATTATGTATGTTATGCTCGATAGATGATTGATTAGTTAGTTAATTGATTAAGAAGTTAATAAAAACCTTGACCTTCATTTATTTTTTAATTAACGGGTTTATTATTTTGTTTTATTTTATTATTTTATTATTTAAAGTTTAGTTGCTTTCGTTTAATTTATTAAATCATGAACTTCGTACGAGAACATAAATAAGAAATTTCGGAATTTAGATATTAAATAAACACCCTTGGTTGTTATACGGAAGATTAATTCTAATCAACCAAATTTAGGTCAATATCAATGATTATGTGAGTCAATATTGGAATTCCGTTGTAGCAGATTACGCACCGCAAATAACATCCTGTCAAACTAATGAAACGATTATAGAATGGACACGAATATTCAAGGTTGATAACTTATTTAAAATATTAGCAACATCAACAAATTTGTTCTTTTAAAAAAGTAAACAAATAAAATGTATAATAGACCTTTCCGATATTAGTAAATTTTTTTATTTTTATTGGTGCAAACTTCTAGTGACACAAAATCATCAGCGATCCACTCACGATTACTATTACTTATTACCTTTTATGGAATTCGAAACTTTGTGCTATATTAATATGTAAAACTTTTAAAGTCATGTGTGATCATTTTGAGGTGAACCATAATAGAGTTTGGAGAGATTGTGGTGTTGAAAATTTCAAGGTAAGATTGATACTAATATTAGTCAACAAACGTTAAATAGGGGAAGTATATCGGGGACAAAATACGCATAACTGAGTTATTGGATCAAATATTTTTTTGATTGAAAATAATTCGACACATCCTAGACAACATTATCATTATCATTATCATTTATTCCGATCAGGTGTAGATTGATAATCAATATTAATTAATATGGAAGGGAAGGTCTATAACACCAGAATTTGAATGATTTTTTAAATGAAGGCACAATAGATTTACCTCTTGAACGACGATAATAACTATGGTATTTAAATACTTTACAATTTATTAATTAATGGAGCCACAAACTATTTAATAATGCAAATCCGGTATAACGACTGTTGGTGCGACTGGAGATTCAAATTCAATTCGTATTGCGCATGCTGCAGCAAATAGTTATTGCAAAGTCTGACTGCAGAAAGGGTTTGCCGATGATATATATTTTACGATCTAGCCTGGAGTGTGCCAAATAGGCAGAAAATCAAGAGTTTACTTCAAATAATCACACACCGATGCAATTTTAGGCTTATTTTTATTCTGGCACTTTTATAGAAGTTTTAAATAATTAAATTATGCATAAAGGAAATTTTGTACCTAAAAATGTAATGTTTATTTTTAAAAATAAATAAAAATAAATAATGACTGATCAGCAACATTTGAAATAATAAACCAGTAAAAGTAGTTAGTAGAAAACCAATTGATTACAAGGAAAATTTTGATTGGCTACCCGTCGTTTTTCAAAAATAAAAAACAAATAAATAAACTCTCTATTATTTCTATTATTGTAAATTTGTTAGAAAGAAAAATGAAAAAAGAAAATTTTCCTTTTATCGAGCAATTAAATAAGTGTCGTTAGTTAATTGTTAAACAAAGAAATCTACAAAATTTAATTGCTAAATTTGTAAATTGCTGAAGAACAATAAATTATACAAAACTATAATTATGTTTTCTTTCCTGCTGCTTTGTTTATTGTTTTGTAGACATTGTTGCTGGTATTATTAACTGAACCAATATGCAAAATTAATTAAGCACGAAATTTAATTTCCCATCGAAAAAAAAATCAAAGGTAACTTGCAAATAAATTTTTTCTATAATAATAACGGAATGACAAACAAATAGGTATAAAGAGTGATATTAATTTAAAAAATTCTTTTTTTATCCACACAACATTATCTAAATTTCGTTTGTGCAAATTAACTACCAGAAAATCATAAATAAATATTTAATAGAAAAAGATAAGATAAAAAATAAAAAATTAAGAATATTAATAATAAAATTTTTAAATAAATTTTATTTTTTTTTTTTTGTAAAAAAAAAAATTTAATATTTTCTTCTTCTACAAAGAAGAAGAGACGAAAATATCCATATATCATTATCATTATTTTCTTAATTATATTATTATTTAATAACTCTACAATCTTTTTCTATCGCTTACGATATCTTCATATCAGTATTAAATAATATGGGGTATTTTGCATTTTGTCTAATTTGCAAAGTCAATCCTGTTTCTTTGGAAAGAAGTGTGGCAAGATCAGAATATAATCAAGTCTGCTCTGAAAAAAAATGTAAAGAACGGGCAAATAATATGAGATTATTGGAAAAATGTTTAAATTGCAAGCAGCGTCCAAAATTAAGACTTGATAATGGCAAATTAGTTGATTTTTGTGGAATGGAATGTAAAAAATCCGCATCAAAATTTTCATCATCGCAAACAATGTCTTCTTCTAATCTATCAAAATCATCGTCATCTCCCAACGGATCAAAATCTTTGACTATTAAGTCAAAATCATCGAGAAGCTCGCTTTACATCAACCCTAATGGTAAGAATAGCAATAGTAGCAACAACAACAACAATAATAGTAATAACACAATAACAACAACACCTGCACCAAATAAATTTCCTTCACCGAAATCTTTATCTAAAGCTTTTTCATCTCGTAAAGAATCACCTAAACCAATAAATACAACGTTTGCTTCAATTCCTATGGTTCAACTGCCACAACAACAATTGCCACCATCATCGTCACGTTCTTTATCGTCAAATTCGCCTCTTTCCCATTCTCCCTCTTCTTCACCTTCACCTTCACCTTCACCTTCTTCTTCGTCTTATTCTCCCTTCTTGTCACCTTCCACACTTGGTGTCATGGAGCCAGGCGCACTCAGACGATCAGTTAGTTCTGCTTCAAATTATAAACGACGTTCATCTTTAATCAATCACGTTAATTACATGAATAACAATCCTAATGCTAGTTCTCCCTCTCCCTCTATTAAGAGTGATAATAACAACAACACATTGTCTAAAAACAAACAACAATTATTTAATAAAACTCCGGAATTTCTGACTCCAACAATTTTATTTAGCCCAGATGATAATAATAGTAAAAATAATAAAAATAAAAGTAATAATAAAGGTCGAATCTCATCATATTTCTTTGGTAAACCAGCAATTGAACGCTCACAAACTGTGCCTTTAATCTCTCTGGTTCCTCCAACTCCGTATACAACCACCATTTACGATAACAATAGCACTCTTATCAATCATGGCCTTTCAGCAAATTTCGTTGAAAGGCCTAAAAGGAGAAGTAGCATGGTTTCAAACAGAACATCGATTGCAATATAATTATAATAATAATTAGAATAATTAGAATAATTTGTGTAGATTTAATTTTTTTGTTTTTAAATTTAACTTAACAGACAATTGCGCGTAACTTACTATCAAGATTAAGTTTTTTTTTTGCTTTTAGAATTCTAACATATTCATGGTTTCATAGAAAGACTTGCTGATTTTCTTTTTTTAGAATTTTAATTTTTTAATTTATTAAGTTTTTCTTGATTTATTTTTTACTTTCAAATTTCCACAAACAATTTGTTTAATCAGGAGGCGATAATGATGATATCGGTGATATTATTATTATCTCGCTAAAAAAATTTTTTTTTTAAATGTATAAAAATTTCTTTATAATTAATTATCAATTGTAAAAACAATAAATTATATTATAATTTTCCTCCGTAACCGTTAATGAATGTCTCTCTTCATGTTAGCCATTAATGAAACATCAATTAATGAAATGAAATAATTTAAATAATAAATGTATATTATAAGAAGGAAATCTAAAAGACCCCCCAAAAAAGAATGCGAATATATATATTATAGTCTCGGCCATTTTTTTGAAAAATAATTAATATTAAATGCCTTCATTAGAAAGCTATAACGGAATAGTTTTTACCTTACTTTTCTGAAAATATCTTGTTACGAAGATTATTATTTAATATTAATCAAATTAATAATAGTGATTGAAATTTGTTCCGGTTCGATTTAATATTAAGATTAATATTAAATGTTTACTATTACCGATCAACGTATACATGTAATTTATTATTCAAAAGAAAACTATTTGTTTATTTCAAAGAGATCATGAAAATATTTCGTCCAAATGGAACATTTTAATGAATATTAAAATTATAACATCACCAAGGGTTACGGAAATAATAGAACCAGATGATCGAACCTTTAGAACATACAGTATATAAATAAAAATATTAAGAATGCAAGTATAAGCATATTAATTTATTATATTAACGGGTAATGATAAACAATAGGTAATTGGATCAATATATTTTCTTTTACAATACCATTTACATAATAAGGTATTCGACTTTGCATTAATTCATCAAGAGATTGCCTGGAAAGAGTAGTTATTATTATGCAACCATCAATCAAAAAATATTATCAGAAAAAAATTGTTGTTACGCGACCATCAAAAATCATTAATTAATCAGTTTTAGAAAAGAAACATGGATGGTTAAAGTTGAATGATACGGAAAAAGTTGTTATGCAATCATTAATCAGAAATTATTATCAGAAAAAATTCAGCAATCAGAAATCACTATTGTGGTGTTAATTAATTAAGAGATCATGATAATGATGTACGACGAAACTTTTTGACTTTAGTCAAAGTATTAACTAAAGGTAGTTTCTCACTGGTGCCATTTTGTCGATTTTGATTTCATTCTCCCTCAACAATTCAGTTTAGTAAAGTTGAGCAACAAAATGTTTATAAGATCCGTGATTCATTGCTGTAACTGTACTGGATTTACCGTCTCATGTCTTTAACGAATATTCTTTATATATAACAGAATGTTTCCCGTGCATTCAAATTGTTACAAAAGAAAATATTACACAAAACACAAATATAAAAATCTACACAAAAATTACGACATTTAGAAATGAACCGTACGTAACACGGCAACCTTCTTTCTTTTATATATGTATAATAATAATGTCATATGTTAAAGTATTATCATCGTTATCACAAGAAAGAGAGGATTTTGTACATAAAATTTATGGTGAAATGCATAATAATGCTAATGCCATTTCTGAAAGAGAAAGTAGAAAAGATTTTTTTTTTTCATTAGTCAAGAAAAACAAGGAGCTTTCTGAAAATGAAAAAGAATTTTGTAAAGAAAAATTTATTTATACTTTTGAATTAAATAATGCAATGTATAAATCAGGCCAACAAAAAGAATGTAACAAGTGTAAATTGACAAGATATTCTGATAGATTCTGTGAAGGTTGTATCAGTTTACAATTACAGAGTCTTTTCACCACTTGGACATCTGGAAATAACATAATTGATGATTTTATTCAACAATGTCA